CCCCCCACACACACTCCCACTCACCACATCCCCCACACACACTTCCACTTACCACATCCCTACAGTCCCACACACACACACACTCCCCCCCTTCCCCCACACACTCACAGATATACACACACACTCCCATTCACCACACCTCCACACACGCTCCCATTCACCACACAACCCACACATACTCCCAAACACACTCCCATGCACCATATCCCCCACACACACTTCCAGACCTACTCCCACTCACTACAACCCTCCACACACTCCCAAACACACACACACACTCGCACATACACACACTCCCACACACACACACTCCCACTCACCACAACCCCACACACACTCCCAGACTCCCATTCACCACTTCCCTGCACACACACACACCCGCACAAACACACACTCATCACATCCCCCCACACACAGTCGCACAAACAATACAGCCATAAGAGGTAGGAACAGAAATTAGGCCCTTCAGCTCATCGAGTCTGCTCCAGCATTCAATTAAGATAAGTTTCTCAGTCCCATTCTCCTGCTTTCTCCGCGTAACCTTGATTCCTTTGACAGTCACGAACCTATCTATCTCTGTAGTAAATATACTCAATGACCTGGCCTCCACAGCCTTCTGTGGCAGTGAATTCCATAGATTCACCACTCTCTGGCTGAAGAAGTTTCTCCTTATCCCCATTCTAAAAGGTCTTCCCTTTACTCTAAGGCTGTGCCCTTGGATCCTAGTGTCTCCTACCAATGGAAACATCTTCCCAACATCCACTCTGTCCATGCCATTCAGTATTCTGTAAGTTTCAATTAGATTCCCCCCTCATCCTTCTCAATTCCATCCAGTTTAGACCCAGTCCTCAAATATTCCTCATAACACATGCACATGCACTCACCATACCCCAACACACACAAACACAGACCCACACTCACCCACACAAACATAGCCACACACACAGATGCACACAGACCCATATAATCATACATACATTAGACTCACACATACAGACTCACACTCAAACCCAGCCCGCACCCAAACACAGAACCCCATAGGCCTACACATGCACAGACCCATCCACACACACTCACACATAGAGCCCCCATAGACCCACACATGCACAGACCCATCCAAACACACACACAGAACCCCCACAGACCCATCCATACACACACACAGAACCCCCACAGACCCATTCTCACACACACACACACACCCCATAGACCACACACTCAGACCCATCCACACACACACAGCCCCCATAAACCCACACATGCACAGACCCAGCCACACACACACACGCAGAACCCCAACAGACCCATCCACACATCCCACCCCCCCCCCCCCCCTACCCACACACACAGAACCTCCACAGACCAATCCACACACACATACACACACACATACACACAGAAAGCCAGCCTCTCCCTATCCCAGTGCAGTGTGGGCGAATCCCGGAAAGTGCTGGGGTTTCCTGGTGAGGACTTACTGAGCCGAGTAGCCTGCCGTCCCTCTCCATGCACAGGTAGCGGCCGCTCAGGTAGCCTTTGATGGCCACTACGCCCGGGGCTACCGCCCTCATCTCCAGGAGACCTGCAAGATAAACAGCACGGGGTCAGCGGGACATTCAAACACGGGCCAGGTCCGGAATAGACTATGACATGACTCTTTAAACAAAGCAGGTCCAACTTTCAGAGCACAGCGCTGAGGGAGAGGAGTCTCTGTCTGCTAGGGAAAGGTAACAGGGCTTCGTGAAACTCCCTGCCGCTTGCAGTTCTCCCCTGGCCTTTGGAAATACAGACCTTGCTCATTGCGGGGGCCTCTCTTGTTGAGAAATAGTGGACCGACTGTAACCCTGCGGGAATTCTCTGCGACAGAACACAACTGGGGCCAAAACTGTGAATGTTTCCAGAAGGGTTTGTAGATAATTTTCAGGGCTAAAGCGATCAAAGGAAATGGGGGGAAATGGGAACAGGCTCGAGGGGCCGAATGGCCTCCTCCTGCACCTATTTTCTATGTTTGTATGGATTAGGGGAAGGGAGGGGGGTTGAAGAGGGAGTTGGACAGAGATGACTGGAGATCAGTCCCGCATCACTCAGTTCCCTCTCTCCGCCACTAATGGCCGCCTTCAGGACTCTCACCGTTAAATCACTGGCAGAATCGAACTCGGTGACTGATGTTTAATAAAAAAAAGATAATGTTGGTCTGGCGAACATTAAATTCGCTCCCAATCTCCATCCCGGTTTGCTGAAGCCAGTTCTCAATCAGGCGGGAGTTTATTCTCTCCTTCTCTCTGACAAGTCTGGGACCCAGTGAGGAACACGTACACCCAAACACAGAACTGCTGGAGAATCTCGGCGGGTCCGGCAGCTTTTGTACAGAGAGAAACTGGGTGAATGTTTCGGATCCATAGTTTCAGAAGCAGGGTCACTCACTGAATTCGGATCGTTTCTCTCTCCTCAGATGCTGTCAGATCTGCAGAGTTTCACGAGCACAATCTGTTTTTCTGTTTGTTTGAGAGCTCTAGCATCTGCAGATCTTTGACTTAATTCAGTAACACAGCCCTCTCCCCCCACCCCTCCCCAAGTGAGCCCCATGAGGTAAAGTGACAGTGTGAGAGAGTGAATGACTGAGAGTGTGAATAAGTGAGAAAGTGATCGGGAGTGAGAGAGTAAATGAGAGTGTGCGACAATGACTGAGAGTGAATAATTGTGTGTGTGAATGAGTGAGTGTGAAAGTGTGTGTGTGTGGATGAATGAGTGTGAAAGTGTGTGTGTGCGAGTGAATGAGTGA